AAAAAATCTATTTAATAAATAATAAAATTAATTCAGATTGTTGACTCTTTTATGTAAGATCAATTAAAAAAATTACCTAAATTTAGCTCTTTGTTTCATCCTGATTTTTGAAATTTGAAAATGGAATAATTAGTAATTGTTATTATTAATAATTGAAAAATAAAAATTTGTAATTTGTGCTGAAATACTGTGTGCAAAAGTTAGCAATTATTATTTAACTTCGGCTTACATAAGGGTGTCAACAGTTTGAATTATTTTTATTATTTTTTTAACCATGCTTTGATTTTTTTTTTCAAAAAGGCAAACCTACTACCAAACATGACACAATTTATCAAAAGCATTGCTAATACATTTGCGTAGTTGTTTCCCCTCCAAAATTATGTCACTTCCTGAAGGTTTTGTCAGATATTCTTCAACAGACTGCATAGGAAACTGAAGGCAACAAAAAATGGATAAATTGGTTTATTTATATATACAGTATATATATATATAACTAGGATATAACTTTCTTCCAGTTTTATATATACAGTATACATATATATATATATATATATATATACTTATGGTTTCAGTTTTTAAAATTTGTGAGTTTAATATTTTATCCATTATAGAAACATAAAAATGCACTACATAGCAGGAATGATTCTCTTATTCCAAGTTTAAAGACTTGCAAGATTGAATTAATAGTGACTCGCTGTAAGCAAACTCTTTGAAAGATTTACACAGTTTACACGAACACATCAGCAGAAGGCAGAAAACTTCTGTATTTCATCTTACAGCATCCCGGTCCCATGTGTAATGCATGTTGCTGAGGTCCGAGGACTTGTTACATTGCTTTCACTGTTTATTGCTTCTCTGATCGAGTTGCTCCCAGTTTGCATCTGCATTTCCCCGTATGGTGCAGTAATGGAATTATACCTCCCTCTACACTACATAGAACATGCTCCGTGTTACAGTTACAGCTAGCAGATTTAATTAAGAGACATAATGGGTGTGTTTCATTTCGTTACGCTGAGGATATGGGGTGCAGTGTATTCTGCGGCAAGTTTGGGACTTGTAATTGCTCAGGTTAAGCAGAGGGTAATTTTGTACTCCTTGCCAAATTTGTGTTAAAGTGGCTCATTAAACGAGACAAATGTGCTTTCGAAATGAAAAGTTTGGACGCAGCCCATTTGATTCCCTAGTTGGTGCATTTGATATGTTCGAAATGGCATATTACTTAATTTTTTTCAGACAGCCAAAAGTTAAGCATACTATAATTGCATACTACTATACTATATTATACTATATAAACCGCTACACTATGCACCCTGCACTGGGTACTGTATCCCACAATGCATTGCACACATTCTCACAAATGAACTGCAAATAACAGCAACCACATTTTTAATGTTTCTTTAATTTAAAAAATACCAAAATGAAGACATTACCAAAACTGATTTAATTAAACTACCAAAAATATACACATTAGATTACAATGCAAAATATTTTCAAAAAACGGCATACAACATGCTCACTTTGGCATGCAATGCTACATACAAATTATTCTAATGCTTATCAGTGCATGCTGTTCTGTTTTACATATTAGTTTGCTTTTTCAAAATAAAACCACTAGTGTGCAGTACATTAGTATGCAGATTCTTCTTAAGTTCGTCTCACTCTGTTGAATCATTTATTAATGGTCACTTATGGGCATGTACTCATCTGAGTCACTGTCTCATGGTGCTTGTGAATGGATGCACATGTTGACACATCAATGGTAGAAACTATAATGTTTCTTTAATTTAAAAAATACCAAAATGAAGACATTACCAAAACTGATTTAATTAAACTACCAAAAATATACACAACATTAGATTACAATGCAAAATATTTTCAAAAAACGGCATACAACATGCTCACTTTGGCATGCAATGCTACATACAAATGATTCTAATGCTTATCAGTGCATGCTGTTCTGTTTTACATATTAGTTTGCTTTTTCAAAATAAAACCACTAGTGTGCAGTACATTAGTATGCAGATTCTTCTTAAGTTCGTCTCACTCTGTTGAATCATTTATTAATTGTCACTTATGGGCATGTACTCATCTGAGTCACTGTCTCATGGTGCTTGTGAATGGATGCACATTTTGACACATCAATGGTAGAAACTACCATCTATCAGACGATTCGGCTTACTGTAATAGCTCTCAATGGCACATTTAGATTGATGTCTGGTGCTTTTCAGAAGGGGGCAGGGAAAGTGATCAAACACATCCAATTAACAAAGGCAAGATATTGGCCTCTCGTTGTTGGAACTAATGGTCTGGATTCTTGTTAAATATTCATGACTGACTAACACTCTGGTAATCTAAGTTGGGAGGACATTTATAAGTAATATGCTTTATAATTAACAACAAAGTCTCTGTGCATTTTTAATTCATTGTCGATCATTGTGGTGATTTGATTTGAAGATTTATGAATAATGGCTGATATAATCAGTCATACCCAGCATGTGGTTTCAGTAAGAATGTAAATTTTAAATGCATATAGTTGATTTTGTCAACATTTAGGACTGCATAAGCATATAGATGAGCTCAAAGCTAACAGACTTGGACTAAAAAGACATAAAAAGCTTCGTTTGGTTCCAAATTTGCTCTAAAACACCTGTAATTTTGCAGTTCAGGTTTACTTCGGTGGAGTTTAAATGTGCAGGTAGATCTTTTGTTATAGCCTAAGGAAATCTTGTTATACTTTAATTTTTTTTTCTCATTTCATGCTTATATATCTATCAGAAATCTTTGTTCTTCCTCTTTAGTTCATACATGAAAGTTTTGCCCCCAGCCCTGGAATCAAACACAATTTTTACCTCTTTTTCCCATTTCCATATGGTTTCCTCTTCACTCTGGAGAACCTCCCCAGTAAGCACACATGCATCAACATATGTATAACGAGAGCTCTGAAAAACTGCATGATCTGAAAAGCTGTATTTTAAGCATCATTTCTGCAAGACTGAACTTTTCCACAACATTCTAATTTATTGAGATGCACCTGTATATATATTCTACATTTATTCAAAAACTACATACATTATAAATCATTCACTTATATATCTGCTGAACCTAGTATGTTAGAATACTTACATTTCAAAGCATTTATTGTGCAGTATATAATTCACTGTGAGACAGACATTTAACTGAACTTTAGTTTTGGTTGAAGTTAATATTGTATTAATATTAATACTATTTTAATATTAATGCTTTAATTAATTTAAATTTGCCTTTTACTAATCATTTAATTTAATTCAATACTTTAAACAATACTTCATATTGTATTTCTGCAAAAGTACACATTAAACTGATCAAAAGTGAGAGTAAATACATTTGTAATGTTACAGGAAAATATATGACAAATAAAATAATTAAATTCAAATAAATTCATCAATCAAGGTTACTAAACTTAACTTAAAACAAATATAAAATAAATGCATTAAGAGGAAATTACACAAACAGATAATATATATATATATAAATGTTTAATTAATGTTAAAAAAATGCTATTCTTTTGAACTTTTTTAAAGAACCCTTGCAAAAATGTATTATGGTTTCCACAAAATATATTAAGCAGCACAACTGTATTCAACATTGAGATTAATAATAAATGTTTCTTGAGCAGCAATTAGATGATGATTTCTAAAGGATCATGTCACACTGAAGACTGGAGTAATGACAATTCAGCTTTCCCATCACAGGAATAAATGACACTTAAAAATATATTAAAATAGAAAACAGGTATTTTAAATTGTAATAATATAAGAGTTTTCACAAATGAGGGTTACCATCTAGACAAACCATCTTTGTCCTGATGCTCTCAGTGGTTGCTTCTGCATTGTGAAAACCTTTACTCACTCTCTTTGTTTCAGTCACAGTCTCTCTGCGATTTCGTCTGTCAGATCAAAGACCCCCTGGACCACTGCACAACTCACGATTTAAAGCAGAACTTCTGAGGAACTGAAGGTCTGATAAAGGGAATCCCTAAGAGAGGTACTGTTTGTAGACCCCTGGTCTAGTTGTGACAGCGCAGCTCTGATCAAATGAAAGCTTCACGTGGACTTTATCTGTAGCTGTTGCTGAGCGTTCCTCTTTGACACCCAACGCCTGACTGCGCTGCGCATAAGTGGAGGAGAGCAGAGAGAGGGAGGAGAGAAGAGAAAAACAGCAGGAGGAGGGTGAAATCTAACCAGAATATGTTGAGGAGCCACAGGCTGCACACAGCACGTTGCTCTGTAGTTTGAGAGGATGAAAGAGGGAAGATTTAGATTACTGCTGCAGAGATTTCGGAGGTGAGGGCAAGTGGAAACTTATTGACTTCTATGGCGTCGATACTGGGGAGGAGATGAGAATAAAGTGATTTTAATCCACAGGAGGCGCAGGACTGTTACTGTGGAGGAGTGCCGTGCTTTTAATCCTTCAGAAAAGAGGTAATTTTCTTATAGATAAACTTACTTTCAAATACTTTACCTTACAAAACCAACATCGATTTTTGTGGGAGGGCGAGATCTGAGGATTGGATCGGATTTGAGACTTCGGGGCTTCAAAGACATCTTCTGCTGCAATTTTTCTGAGAAAAACATCCATACATAAACCACATGCAGACTTACTATTCCGTGCAATCTGGAATGATGAACCTCATAGGAGAAGCATGTCAGCTGTAGTCTCGTGTGCGGCGCTCTGAGGAGTAGTGCTGGGAACGAATTCACTTCTGGCATAAAATGAGAAATTTATCACAGCCGATCATTCCTGACCCACTCTTTCAGAGAGCATGTGGCTTATTTCGTCTTCCCCTCTTGCTTTTGAAGCTGTGAGAGTCTTCTTTGGAAAATAAAAGCCGGTGGTTGTGCTTACAGACTGGAAGAACTGAAATATGTAAGACTCTGGCTGTGAATGATGCAATTAACGATTAATGAAAACCGAAGCGGCTGTGATCAGTATGCATAGGTTGCCTACGTTCACACGGAGAACTGTGGGAGTGAGTTAAGGCGAGAGGACTAATGACTGACAGCGGTATCAGGTTTGCTGTGTGGTACAAAGGAGTACATTCTGTGCATTAGGTTGTTTGCTTCTGGCTGAATTTAGAAACTGCAAGTGTGGCTCATTCTTGATATTTTTTCCTTGCTTCCTCATTATCTCTTTCTCCCATCCCGCCTCATTTTGAGGAACAGGTTGCTGTGCTATTAAGCAGATTTATATTAACCACTGTTTCCAGGACTGCTGTGCCTTTGGGATGAACATTTAAGGCAACTCGTATGGGTCTACAAAACTCTGTTTGATTGAACATTCAACAACCCATCGTTTTTATCTTGTCCCTCATAATCAACATGGTCCCACCGCCCCCTTCCAACAAGCCACACGTTTGCCTTTCATGTGTGCTAATCATGAGCAGCATGGCTCTGCTGGACGCCTACCTTGTGGAGCAGAATCAAGGTCCACGGAAGGTGGGTGTCTGCATCATGGTCATGGTAGGGGATGTGTGCTTCCTCATCGTGCTGCGGTACATTGCGGTATGGGTCGGTGCTGAGGTACAAACTGCTAAACGTGGCTACGCCATGATCCTTTGGTTCTTCTATGTCTTTGTGCTGGAGATCAAGGTATACTTTGTTTACCAGAACTACAAGGCAGAAGGCGAGAGAGTGGACGCTCTTACCTGCAAGGCTTTGACAGTGCTGCTTTCTGTGTTTGTCCCGGGACTTTACGTTACGCTGGCAGCCATCGATCACATGGAATACGTTCGTCCGCTCAAGAAGAGGGAGGAGTTGAGAAGTCGGCTGTTCTGGGTTGTGGTGGATCTTCTCGACATTTTGGACATTCAGGCCAGCCTATGGGAGCCTCAGAGAAAAGGGCTCCCTCTATGGGTGGAGGGCCTTACTTTTTTCTACTGCTACATACTACTTCTAATACTGCCGTGTGTGTCATTGAGTGAAATTAGCATGCAAGGTGTGAACATTGTGCCGCACAAGATGTTGTTGTATCCCATTCTGAGTCTGGTCGCCATCAACTTTATTACAATTTTTATACGAGGAGGAAATATGGTGTTTTATAGGGACATCCGAGTGTCTGGAATACTCATGGGTAAGAACGTCCTCGCCATTGTCCTGAAAATGTGCAGCTTTGTGCAGTACCGGAGACACCTGCAGGAGGCGCCAACACCCGCTCTCGCTCCAGAACTACAGAGGGACACAGTGCCACAAAGTTCTCGAGGGGCAGTGCCATTCGTAATGCCCATGCCCGTCAGCATGCCAACTCCGCAGGTAGTCATACAAGATCTCACCACACTTCCAGAAGAACCCGAACTTGAGGAAACATGACAAGATGGGGAATGAGAAGGGTTCGTACTGAGGATACTTGGACAATGCACAACATGAACTGCTTTGAGATTTTTTGTCCTAATGTTAATCCGGGTGTACACTGTATGATTTACTATTTTAAGATCGTTTCTTATCAGACTGTATGATGACGTTAATGACTGGATACATACCAGACCGTTCTGCACATAGGCCAGACATTTAGCTCGACTTGACTGCACTGATTAGGCATTTTAAGCACCACTTAATAATTTTCTTCAGTATTTGTCTTTTTTTCCCCAGTAGAAATATCTACACATTCTTAAAACAAGATAAATATACTTTTTAAAAGAATTTTTATATTTAGAATATTTATCTTAACACACTGGTAAATTACTTTTTCATGTTTGAAATGTAAACATTATTTAAAGCATAGATTTATGCTTTAAAAAGGACAATATCTGCAAATGGGTTAATGGCAAATATATTTAATTAATAAAACAAGTTTTAAGACAAAATACAGATTTTTTTTTTTGCAGTGCAGTCCACATACCATTCTCACTTTCAGCACTAATCCCAAATTTTGCCTTGAAAATGAAAAAAGACTGAGTCTCTGACAACGAAAAGGTGGCAAAATTCATAGAGTGCACACCCAGTTTTAGTGAAAAAATATGATTAAAGTTGTTGATGAGATGACAAATGTTTGTGAAATGAAGACACAAGGCAGCTATGGATCTGGGGTCCATTCATTTCCAGAAAAAGTCTTTAACTCTGGAATGTAGTAGTTTATAAACATCATTAATTAACAAGTGGAATGCCAAGCAAATCACACTTGAATGAACTCTCAGTGACCCTATGATTGTACAATCACAGACAGCTGCGAATATATCATCTACTTTTGTTTCTTCTGGTGGGTGTTAAAAATGTGGTAAATCATCATGTTTTTTTGCAGTATTTAATCATCATATGTTTGTAGTCATTTAATAAATATGGTGAAAAGTTGTGTTTTTGAACGAGTCATACTACAATTCATGTCTCCTAACTAATCACAAAGTGAATGTTTTATATTTGATGGAATTATGCTTCATATATTATTTGTTCTGATGTTTTATGAAACCAAATGAATGATATTTTGTTATTAAAACTATGTTTTTGTTGATATCTGATATTGTTTTTTTCTCTTTCTTACTGATGCAATGCACCTAGTGACCACCCAAAACAGCCTGCAATGGTTTAGAAATGAAGAATTCCTTAGTAACTGTATAGCAACACTGCAGCAACCACCTAGTACACCCTAAAGACTGTTTACAATCTCAGAACACCCTAGCAACTCTATAACAGCACCCTGGCAACCACTCTAGCACAGTGCCAAAACAATTTCTTGAGAAAATCTAGTATTCACTCCATCATTCTTTGCTCTTTTTGAGCAAAGTTACAATAGTTTGCTAAAAGCACACAGACATCCCCAAAGTGGAGCGCAAATCCCAATCACGTTATTCAATATGATTATTCTGTTTTTAAAGCTCTGAACACTTATCTTGTCAGTTCAAAATGATGATAAAAAGCAGCCTGTCTTTTTTTTCTACAAAAGTTGTCATAATCAAATGCAAATTTAGAAAAGTTTCGTCTTAAATTATTAGCCGCTGTTAACGCACTCCAAATCTCTGAGGGCTTTCTATTTAAATCCAAAAATCAAACCTCAGCCATACGGAGTATTTCAATAACAACAAGTAAAACACTGTGTGCCTTGGGTGAGTTAAAAGAAATGTTTTATGACAACGTATACCCAGAGCTACAATTTTAGCATGTTGCTATAGCTACTGTTAGATTAGCACAGTCGACAAATATAGCACAAAGACATGTCTCAAAAAAAGATCTCAGTAAATACACCTGACAGCTTCTTATTGCTTCAGTGACACCATAGCTGCTTCTGTGCCAGATCGAAACAAACATATAATCACACATTTTTTACCTTTCAGCCAGTAATTTATGGGTGTTTATTTCTTGCCAGTTAATTTGTAAGGTGCTCTGTATCTTAATACAGAAATCCTCACACTTGATGTAGCTGCTTAAAAAAAAAAGACATCTTTCACTTCCCCTTGTTCACATGAATGAATGGGACTAGGTCTTTCAAGCTGCAAAATCACAAAAAAGCACCATAAATGTAGGTCAAATGACTTGTGCGCTATATTTCAAGTCTTCTGAAGCCATATGATTGTTTTCTGTCATGAAATCTTTTTTGAATCTCATAACGCAGTCTGTTTTTATTTTCAGCATACTGCACATTGCCAACTTAAATTACTTGTTTGCTAAAATTGTATGCCAGGGTAAAATGAGCTAGAATAATAGAATTAGATTTTTAAATCACATTTTTTATTAAAATAATTATTAAAATGAAAACCTCTTTAAGACAGCAGTTCTCTTTTTTTTGTGACTCCCCATTTTGAAAGCAGAAAAGCTTTCACCTTTTTTGGTGCCATTTCAGGAGAATGCAGCAGAGGAAAATAAATTGCACACAAACCTGATAGTTTCTTATGTGTATCACATCAGAACCAATCAGTTCAAATGTGGTACATTTTAGAGATAACTAGGTAAGCCTCTCACAAAAATGTAAAGTTTAAGCTTAGTTAAAGCTTATAATTGATATCTGTTATCTAAAGCGGTGGTGCTCCACCTTTTTGACTCCAAGGGCCCAAATGTGCACAACAGTACATGAAGGCTATATTACTTTTCAAGCCGATCATGATTCACTGGACAAGGATTAACACTAGAACTGCCAGGAGTCGTTGAATACCTAAAACCGCCAGCAGGTAAAATTTACCCATGCACATGACTACTGTTTTGATATGGCTAAAAGCAGCACAGCTTCACCTAATTAATTATTAATTTGTTTAGTTATATAATTTATAATTTTAATAAGAGAACAACACTAATAATCTTCGGGTAATCAAAAAAAATGGTTTTATTCATTACATCATAGATCAGATTTTTTTCTTTTTCAGGAAATGGGCAGACTAGAATAAATAGCAACACAGTAGCGAAAAATAAACAATAAAAATTGCAAAACAAAAATTAATAATTAATCCAAAGTTGATTTGAGCCTACTCATAAATGTTCAAACTTTGGATTAATTATTAATTTTTGTTAATTTATTGTTCGCTACTGTGTTGCTATTTATTCTAGTCTGCCGGTTTCTTGAAAAAAAAGATCTATGATGTAATGAATAAAACAATTTTTATGATTACCCCAAGTTTATTGGTGTTGTTTTCTTATTAAATTATAAATTATATAACTAAACAAACATGACTACTGCTTTGATATGGCTAAAAAACATATTATTTCACTGTATTATGCCACTGTCTTCACAAAGAAGTGTCTAGAGTCATGGAACTATTATGTCTAGTCATCAACTATATTTTTGTCCTGTTGTTTTATGTTCAAGGCTTTTTTTATGCAGGCTACATTAATCACTTTTCCTAACGGTGAATATAGGCTAAACCAGCCTGCAATGACAATGAGAATTAGAAGGAAATAAATACATATTTGGGTGGTGTAATATTATAATAAAATGTCATAAATCACATATTAAGATAACCCGTGTTATTTAAATTACTAAAGTACACTAAACAGACAATAGTGAGCATTAATAATTCACCGTTTGGAAATATATATATATATATATATATATAT